AAAAAAACAACACCATTTGGTTACGTTAATTAATCTCCGGATGAATAGTTAATTTCAGTAAATACTTTATGTGAGGGAAAACGAACAAGCTATCACGTTTAGAAAAAAGAGGCATCTCTCCTCTAAAAAGTCACATGTTTAATAGAGCCTTTCGTTTTCCCTCGACGTTTACGCTGCTTCCCAGGCGATCCCAACGGACCAGCCGCAGTAGGTACGTACGTAATGCGTCTCGTATTTTATAGACGGCCCCTTATCTTGGTGTGCTACTCTTTTTATTATTGGGCGGAGGGGGTTAATTCGCTGTCACACGCGACGGAGTAAGGCCCAGGCATTAATAACGACCCTCTCGCATCATCGGTCTGAAGGGGAGAAGGGTGGGGATATTTCATTTTCGCTTTTTTCTTTCCCCTTTTTTGTACGCACGTTCTCTGTTTTATTTCCCTTTTCGAGCGAAGAGCTTTGGCACACCATGGGACAAGCCGCGAGGAAAAAGTGAAAACGTAATTAATGAAACCACAGAGCAGCACGTAGACTGTAACTTTCCCTTCTTTTTGGCGCTTTCCTTTTTAATTTTCTCCAGTCGGGTCATCCATGATAGAGAGAGTACCCTCCAGTTTTTTTATGGCCACCCCCCTCTCACGTGTGCACATGCCGTTTGCTAGGGATTAGAGCAGCAGCATGGGGACTCACAGGTGGACGCATTGTGGACGAGTTTTTTGTTAGTTGAATATTTTTTCTCTATTTTTTTTTTGGGGGGGGGAGTGACAGCAAAAAGAAGCAAGTGTTTAAGAAAATAGCCAGTGCTCACTTGCGCCAGCTTGCGGGCGCTGGTGCCACCGCCCGCTCAGCTCGGCAGGGTCTGCACGCGATGTGCATGCACGCCGGCGCCCGAGGTGGTTTACAGAGAATGGAAAAAACCCCTTCCCGGTTTTAATAACCTTCTGAAAAAATTTATTTTTTTGCTAGAAAAAAACATACACTGTGAAACCAACGGTCGACCGTGGTGTACACGAAAAAATAAATAAAAATGCCTGTTGTGGTGATCAACTCTGTTCGTTCACTGAATTCGATAGCTGAAATCGAGAATCCGATGCTATGCCCACAGCAAGAACTAACAAGACTTGCACGAAAAGAACAAACGAAAGTCAGCTTAGGGATAATCGAGAAAGTACGGCTGTCATTCGCTGTAAACCTGCCAAGAACCAAGTTTAGCCTTTTGCTAACTCTCAGCGCCTAGTAGGTAGGCAAAATCATGCCTTCAGTGCATGCGTGAACAGCAGAGTGGTCTACCCCGAGTTATGCAGGCGCCGAGCTCCCGTAAGTGACCAAACAAACCTGAGAAAAACGGCCGTACTCTCTGGGCAGGTCCCTGAGGTACCTATAGGTATCACACTGGTAAATAAAGTGAGCAACTGGCGTGCACATGCAAGTGCTTAGCAGCGCTAAGCAGTACATTGCACAGTGCACGGTTGCCCCCAACGATGGATGTGTCCAACAGAATGGGCCTGGCAAGTGTGCGCCTTACCTGCCAGGCACACTGTCCTAACACTGTAAACCCACAACAGTCCACGACCATGCACACACAAGCAAGCGACAACGTGTTGTTAGTCGACGCTGTTTACAACAGAGTAGTGATAAAGTTTTAAAATCCTTTGGCTAAGGGTTGAGAGGCGCCTCTCCGCCCCGCTCGCTCGTACTCTCGCACCGGCTTCCTTCTGGTCTCGCCCGGCCCCGCCCGCTTGTCACTTAACTCACTCGGCCCGGCCCGGCGCGGAGGCGTTTCTGTCGTTTCTGTTCGCGGCGGCCTGGTCTCGAAATTCAATTAGAAAAAAGAATCAGCGGCCTGCAAGACTGCGCGAAGACGGTCGAGATGGGGCCGTATCTGCACCCCCTCAAAAAGCTTCCCCGAATGAGAGAAAGTGAACGACGAAGACAACAAGTAGTAGGCATGGCAGCACTTTCAAAATGCTGAGTGAGTTTTCATTATTACTTCTTACTTATTTCTCTCCAGAGCAATTAAACTTTCTTCGAACGCCCTGTCGTTTGCCATTTTTTATTCGGCTTCTGCTCCTCTTA